TAAAGCTGTAAGGTCACCTTTGCAGAGAGTCAGCTGTGTGGTAAGAAACCCCAGGAGCTACAGGAGGGTGTGATGACAGTCACAAAGAGGCAGAAGGGCAGGTCCTCCAGGAGCCGAGTTGGATCTGAAAGGAGGGCAGAACTTAGAGGCAGGAGAAGGGGCTCTCCAGGAGTCTAGGGGTGGGCAGGACCAAGCAGAAGGAATTGAGGTGGCAGAAGACTGTGAACAGAACCTCTGAGTGTCTGGGGCCTTGATCTGAAGTGGCCAATTGCTAATGCAATTTGTGATCTTATAATTTCAAAAAATCATATGTGTTTTACATTTGCTCTTGTTTACCAATGCCTAGTAGGTGAACTTAAAAAACAAAGGTGCCAGTAGAGCTTTTTTACATATGTAATCTTATATTTACTACGTTTTTAGTATCTTACAGAATAGTCCCTGAGACTCAAATAGTTTCTCTAGCAGTCAGGGAAGGGATGAGTTGGGTGACATGGTGGCACGAGAGGAGACAAAAGGGAGGGGTTTGGGCTACAGATACAGGAAAACTGTTCAAGGATTCTGAGAAGGGGTGCAGTGGGGGAAAAGTGTGGAAAGAATTGTTTCAGGAAAAAAGTGTTGAAAAGAAGAAAAGACATAAAGAAAGAGATTATTTCTTGAAAAGAAGGCGTTGCAGCTGAAGAGGCTGCATGGCTTTGGGTCCTGTCACTTCTTCCCTTGGTAGTTACGGGTCTCCTGGGCTGGAAACAGGCTGAACTACATCCACTCAGGGTGTAATGCAGTCCCGCGTCACTTAATGGCAGGGATACATTTGGAGGAATGGGTTGTTAGGTGATTTGTCTTGGTGTGAACATCTTAGAGCGTACTACACAAACTGAATGGAATAGCCTCTTACACACCTCGGGAATGGAATAGCCACTTACGTACCTGGATGGGATAACCTGTGGCCCTCAGGCTAAAAACCTATCATTCTACCCTGTGGGAAGTTGGAACACAGTGACATTTGTGTATCCAAACATAACAGAACATAGAATAGGGGCCTTAAAAATACAGCATACGAGTTAAGAAGTGGTACACCTGTTAGCGCACTGTCCATGAATGGAGCGTGGCGGCCTGGAAGTTGCTCTGGGTGAGTGGTGAGTGGTGAGTGGGGAGGGAAAGTGAAGACTGGGACACTACTGTACACGCGTGGAGACTTTATAAACTCTGCACAGTTAGGCTACACTAAATTCATAAAAAAACTTTCTTTAATAATAAACCAATACATGAATGTACTGTAACATTTTTACTTGGTCATCTTTTAAATTCTTTTTACCTTTTTGACTCTTGTAAGAACACTTAGCATAAAGCACAAACACATTGTGTGCACAGAAATAATCTCTTTATGTATGCATTCTATAAGCCTTTTTCTATTTAAAAATCTCCCCTTTTTTTACCTTGGAGATATTTTTTTGTAAAAAAAATGAAGACACACACTCACATTAGCCTAGGCCTATACCAGGTCAGGATCATCAGTATCATTGTCTCCCAGCCCCACTTCTTGTCCTACTAGAAAGGTCTTTGGGGGCCATAACAAGCATGGAGCTGTCATCTCTTGTGGTGAGAATGCCTTTTTCCGGAATATTTTCTGAAGGCTGTTTTACAGTTAACTTTTTTAAAAATTACTTTTTATTTTGGGCAACCTGCTCGGGACTCTTTCTGTTGTGTTGGAACTTTCCTATCTTCTTCTAATGAACGATTGCTCTACTGTTTCTGAAAAAAAAAGTATATATATATTATTGTATTTTTTAAGCACTAGGTTACTAGGAATAACTTTCTTTAAAAAAAAAAGTAGAAAGCACACACTTTAAAATAATGATAAAAAGTATGATACTAAGTACATAATAATGTGATCACTTATTATTATCAACTGACGTTTACTGCACATCATTGTATGTGCTATACTTTTACATGGCTGGAAGCTCAGTACGTTTCTCTACATGGCCACAGACACGTGAAGAATGTGTCACACTACGTTGTTAGGGTAACTATGACGTCACTAGGCTATTTTTATAATGTGCATTGTAATGTTATGGGACCACCATTATATATGTGGTCTGTGTTGACTGGAACACCGTTATACAGAGCATGACTCCATAGAACCTGAAAGTCAGGCACAGAAAAAAATACACCTGGGAAATGTAGATGGACATCCATGCGATTATGAGGACATAAACTGAATAAGAGGAGACTTAAAGATGCTGTTTTGGGGGTGGCGTCTGTGGCTCAAAGGAGTAGGCCACCGGCCCCATATGCTGGAGGTGGTGGGTTCAAACCCAGCTCCGGCCAAAAAAACTGCAAAAAAAAAAAAGTAGCTGGGTGTTGTGGGCACCTATAGTCCCAGCTACTTGGGAGGCTGAGGCAAGAGAATCACTTAAGCCCAAGAGTTGGAGGTTGCTGTGAGCTGTGACAACAGGGCACTCTACCTAGGGTGACAGCTTGAGAGACTCTATCTCAAAAAAAAAAAAAGATGTCTAAGTACAATGCCTGCCTCTGCCTCAGTGGCTGCCTCACCTCTAAATCAGCTCAGACTACGTGACTGACAGCTGATTGCAGGCGCTCTCTCTTTGGTGCAATAGGGTGTGCACACCTCAGTCTGCCTTAGAGCCCTTGGGCCTCCTCCTGCTCTGGTCTCAGTCTGCCTGGAGCCTATCTGGTCATCCCTTTGGTTTTCAATACCAGTTAGGCTCAGCCTTTGTTTCTCAGCTAAGGAGTGTCAGTCTTTACAGGCTCCGTTCTGTTGGACCTTCCCTGCCTATGGTGTGAAGCTGGGTATTTCCCTTTGGCTCCTGTGCCCCACATGTCTCCCCGAAACTCAGTGCCCTTTTTGAGCTCCCAGTTGGGGACCTCACTCAAGCCTGTCTTCCCAGGCTGCTCATCCCCCGTTCTTCCACCATGAAAATTTGCCTTTTCTGAAGCTTAAAATAATCCAGTAAATGAACTGATGCTAATGGGAAAGTGAGTGAAAAGGAGTCAACACATTCGTGAATTAATGGGATTCTCCTCCCAGGTACTCTCTTTGCATTTTAGCTGTGATTAGGGGATAATTCCTGTTCTATGGTTGTTCAGGCCAACAGCGCCAGTCAGTGGAGGATGTATTTTTTAATAGCAGACGTGCATATAGCATTTAGGCAGCAATCTGGTCTTCCCCTGTGTACTATCATCCCCGCTTCTAAATTCCGCATTACAGTGGTGGGGTTAGTGGAGTTTTAGCTTTCCTTATATATGCTGATTGGTCCACGAGGAAGGTTTTAAAATGTAGGAAGCTTCTGGCTACTCGTGTCCTAAATGATGAGGCACAATTTAGAGGACACAGCATTCCAGTGGAAGGTGAACATTCGGGTGTCTCGTGCAGGAGCCAGCTCTCCCAGCGTCTCACTTCATTATAGCTCTGATTAGAGCTGACAGATGTGCAGCCCTGGCAGAAATCTGCAGCACAAGGCTTGTCCCCTGCTCAGACTGTCCAGGTGGGCCCTCAACTTTTGACTTTCACTGAAGCCGTCTTGGAGACCCTGTTTTCCTTCATGACCCAAATGCCAGCAAAGTGATGGTGTGTGTGTTTGAATTCTGATTCTGCATCTTGGAGCAGGGCAGGGAGGCTAACTTGTGAGCTTTACTTTCAAGGTGCCATTCACCTATTCAGAGATGATGATGAATAAAGGAAAGAGCTGCACGTCAGAATGGTGCAGAACGACTTCTGTGGGCTCAGACAGGTGACTTCAAGTCCCACCAGTGTGGGACTCAGTGGTGCCCAGTCAGGAATGGGTCCACCTCCTTGAGGCACTTGGAAATGTGAGTAGGGAACTCTGCGCATTTGGTGGGCTGGGGTCAGGGATGCCAACTATCCACAGTGGAGGATTATTCTACTCCACATCTCGGTGCCTTGCTTGTTCTGAAGTGGATTTTTTAAAGCTGGCACTTGAAAAAGAGAAAAAATTGATGGGTAGATGATGGACAAAAGGGAGCTCTTGAAAGGGTATAAATCCCTCTGTTACTCTCCCATTTCTAATTCTGAGATAAGACATTCAAGGTCTAGATACGTGGTTCTGTGTCTGTATGCGACTTACAGGGGATGAGGGGTTAATAATGGCCTCTTCTGGTCTGAGGGCAGGCAGCTGCCTGGGTCATCTTTTCTGTCCCAAGCATTGCTGGAGGAGAAGAGTGGATCTGAGGGTGACATTTGGATGAGAGAGATGATGACTAGCTTGAACCCACCTTGACTTTGGGTTCAGACCTTTAATGGGACTGCCACCAACGCCTCCAGCTCCCTGCTCTCATTGTGTACACTCTGACATCAGGCTGGCTTCGGTTCCTAGAAGATAGACAATCCGCCTGCAGAAAAATCTCCTACAGTTGGGGCAAAATCTACATTATCTTTCTTTATCCCAGTGCCCAAGTTTAGATAATCATGAACGTGTCTTTAAGAAAATCTTTGCACAGATGCTTAGTAAACAGCTCTGAGAACTTTCTGTGGGAGCGAGGTAAGCTGTGCTCATTTAAAGGATGTCACCGAGGCGGTGTCACAAGTTATTTTAAGGTGTAGTTAACTTTCTCTAAGAAACCTGAAGGGAGGAGGAAATGTGCATAACTAAAGTGACACCGCCCTGTCACTTGGGGCATTGTAACGGTGACCAGGAGGACACCCTTCTGCTGCATCTGCCTGGGACGGGCTTCGGCACCTGTTCTGCTTTCGCTGGGTGAGGCTTGAAGAAGCTGCAGTTTGAGATTGCCGAATTGGAGGGGCAAATTGGAACCTTCCCTTTATACACGTTACCCACTCTTCACACACCTACCCCGCCCCTCCCTGCTAAGTGTTGGAGAGCAGGGCCCTCCTCAGTTTGGATTCCCAGAGCCAACGCACACTGATCCATAGCAGGTGTTTGGTACGTGTTCCCTGAATAAATGAATGACGTAGGCCAGAGGCTCTCCCATTGTAGCCTGCACAAGGATCATCCGAGGGTCTTGTCACAGTGGAGATTTCCAGGTCCCACCCTGTACTTTCTGTTTCTATAGGTCTAGGGAATGTTCATTTTAACAAGTTCCCTTGTGATGTGACTGGTGCTGGTCTGGGGACCCCATGTGGAGAGCCACTTTTGAGAAGGCTCCTTCACGCTAGTGTAATTGAAGCCCCTTGTTGAAATAAGAAAGCTACTTATTTCAGGTAGAGTGGTGCCTCAGAGAGAACTCTGGACTTGGGAACCTGGAAACTGAGATTTGAGTCCTGGCTCTACTAGTTCTGGACTTTGAGACCTTACCAAGTCCTTTGAGTCTAATCTTTATGAGTTTGTTTCTTTGGGAGACTAAGAGGTGCCCTCCCCACCTCTCAGCCTTGCTGTGAGAGTCAAGTGAGAATACATGCGTGAAGATGATCGGTAAACTCAGAGATTAGATGCAAATGTGAGTATTGTTAGTGCAGGGAGAGAACTTGATTAAGCTTGTGATTGATAAGGATCCTTATTGCCTTTTATGAGCTGGAAAAGAAAATAGGCTCATAAAGGGATGACAAATATGATAGGGAACCAGGAGAAATATGAGTAAAGTAAAGCAGATTTAGACAGGATGCAGTGAGGCACTGAATTGTACATATGTCCCCAGAAGGGCTCTGCAAGTTCAGGGGTGTTTGTGTGTGTGCGTGTCTGTATGTACGTGTATGTGTGTGTATATGTATATGTATGTGTATGTGTGCATGTACGTGTGTGTGTATGTGTGTGTTAGGAGGGTGGGTGGGAGGATCCATATGGAGAATCTTTCTCAGGAGTGGGAATTTGGACTAATGAAGGGCAGAGAGAAACCCCATGGGAAGACTGGTCACAGCAGAGGGTGCCTGGAGGGGACACGGGGATGTATGCCTGTGTATAAGGTATAACCCAGTTACAGGCCTGCAAAGCAAGGAAGAGTGACTCCCCTCTGTGCGGTAGGAAGAAGGACATTAGGCCTGAGATGATGAAAATGGAGGTTCAGGTTCAGGTGGGCTGGGAGAAGGGCCTTGGTGGGAGCCGTGGGCATATATGAGTGGCCTGCAGGAGGAAGGACTTGAAGGTGTTATCAAACCAGCTCAGAGGTTTCAGGTCTGGGTGGTTAGATGGGGGTCAAGCTGAGGCAGGGAGGACAGAGTGTGGGTTTCTTGTTGAGAGATCGTCAGGGACTAGGGGAGAGTTGGTATGTTTGGTTTGGGATATTTGACATGACTGGGAGCTTTCAAGTGAAAATGCTTTTATGGTAGTCAGAGAAATAGGCCTGAAGTTTCTGTTCACCTGTGCCATGCTCTCCTGTTGGGCATTTTGAGAGAGCAGCGACCACCTGGGCTACATAGCTGACTGGCTCCTTGGTGTTTGTGATCCTAGAAGTCTTCATGCCCTTTGGGTCACACCTTGGTGGCTCTCACTTTCTGTCTCTTCTCTCCTATAGGGGATGCCCTTTCCTATCACAATGGATGGAAATTCACAACTTTTGACAGAGACAATGATATTGCACTCAGCAACTGTGCCCTGACGCATCATGGTGGCTGGTGGTACAAGAACTGCCACCTAGCTAACCCCAACGGGAGATATGGGGAGACCAAGCACAGTGAGGTAGGTGGCAGGTGAAGATCTTTTCTGTCCCAGGCTTTGTCCACATTCAGCCCCCAAAGGGATGCCCTCCAGGCCAGTCTGGCAGCCCCTCTCCTTCTGGGCTTCCAGGCTGGGCAGTGGAGTTCCTTCTCTGGGCTCTGTGGTCTTGAGGTCATGTCCTTCCTGCCCAGTGGCTGTGGCCCCTGCCTGCTCTACATTCCCACCAGTGCTGCACACTCAGGACAGGTTGTGGGAAGCTAAGACTGCCCACTGCCGTGTAAAGACAGATGATGTGAGTCACACACTATCTCATTTTACTAGTTCGCACATGGACACTGTCAGCGCAGACTGCTATAACTAAATGCCACGGACTGGAGAGCTTAAATGACAGACATTTATTTCTCACAGTTCGGGTGCCAGCAGGTTCAGTTCTCCATGGGGACTCCCTCCCTGGCTACAAATGGCATCTCTGGCTGTATCCTCACATGGTAAAGAGAGAGGAGCTCTGGCCCCTTCCTTTTCTTATAAGTACACTTGACCCATCATGGGGTTCCACCCTCATGACCTCATCTAAGCCTGATTACCTCCAAATCCCGTACCTCTAAATACCACCACTTTGGGGGAGCAGGGATCCACCATATGAATTTTGGGGAGACATAATATTCAGTTCATAATAGACACTTCCTAATCTTGTCTAGTTGTTCTCACAGTTAAACCAGATCTATTTTTTTCAAGTTTCTTTTTTTTTTTTT